ACACGATAATCTGGTAATTTATTAAATTCGCGTAATCCGGCTGGAGGATATTCAACATCGGGCCTGTTCTTTGAATAGTGTGTCGGGAAAAAGTTATCGCGTTGAAGTCCGAAGGAGACCGTCAATTCGAACAGTTGAAGAAGTTAGTGAAATTCAATCGACGATCGACATGTGCACCTTAATGCAATCGGTAAGTCGTATTATTCCTTTTACAAATGCTATTCGTCTCTGTTTTATCATGTTCGACGTTTAATCTGCGATTGTCTCTGCACGAACATTTCGAGTGCACGTCAATTTTTCCGTGGTCCTCGGTTTTTTGACTTCTCATGTGCGGTCGATTGGTAACCTACTTTACAATTTCGTTTGTCATGACGCTGTTTCAAACCTGGGATTCATCGATGTAAAGTATACACCGAATACGAAGGAATGTCCTGCGTCCCCGGTTGTAAACAAACACGCGATTCCCGTACGTTTGAGCCGCAACGCGTCCACGTGCAAAACACGTTGCGTTTCGTACACCGATAGACCTGCCCTTTACCTATACACAAGGTGTTCAGATTACCGGTGTCGCGAACTTTGAGATGGAGGGGTTGTGATTCTACGTGTCAAAATCAAACTAGATTCAAGAATGCTGTAATTATGTTGGGAGGCTTTATTTTCAAGTTAATACCAGTTACAAATTTCAGATCAGAAACACCTGAAACCACAGGCGATTTACGTGGGCAGCGGTAAGCGTAGAATACGATAGTGCCGGCACTGGTATCATCTAAAGTCTAAGAAAAATACATCGTAGTCAGAAATGTGATATCTAACCACTTGTACGCGAGTCTAGACTGTCTTCTTGGGAACACTTCATAAAAACAGGCATACACGAACTGCACGACATTAAACCTTGTTATTCGTTAATATCCACAATGGCAAATCACAACATACCTACCTACGTAGAATAAACACGAAGTGCAATAGATCTGGAAAATCCAATATAATCTAAACTAAAACTAACTATAATAAGTTAAAGTAACCCTATAAAAAAAAAACAGATTTAGTTTGAAATTTCTGACATGTACACACACAACGACAGAATTTCGTATCTAAATTATTTTAACAAACTTACATATGTATTTTTAGCGTTTATCTGCCAAGGCACATACGATTCTCTTTATTGTAACGTAATATTTGTACGATTGTTAATTACATACACAAGTGACAATTACACGTTAATTGCTTTGTTTTTTCATTTTTATTGACAAATGTGGTTGAATCATGCTGTGATGTTTCTAATTTTGAGTTACATATTATATCCGAGGACTTCCGCAAGTCGTCGTCGCGTAATTCGATGACTAAAAGGGGTTACATCGACCCTCGAAAACAAACGTCGATACGACGACGTAACCACGAAATGTTACAACGTATTGCGTATTGACATGTTGTGTACATCCAGACGTCCTTAGTCCTCTCGAGCACGTTTAAACTCGACGGCGTATTGAATTCCACGAAGTTTGGAATTCGTGTTAAGTCCCTCGAATGCCATGATATATTTCCCCGGCCCTGCAAAATTTTTTTTTCCAAATTCCATGAACGTGAACTAGGAGTGGCGTCCTTCAGGCTCCTGTTTTCGTTCTGTACCGAAAGCTCGGAGCAATAGTTCGCTGGGATCACTCGCGGCGATGAGTTCGAGGAATTCAGTGGTAGGTGACGCGCATTAAATTTTCACCATTTCTCCCTACGTATCGGTTGATCGTAATTTATCGTACGCCGGTATATTATGCACCGTCGGACGCGAAACGTTGAGCTTTTCGAATTTTTTCGTGTTTACCCGGAAATCACGCGAAGAAATTTCCGTTTTGGTGACGCGAACAGAGACGACCGATTTGAATGGCCGTTGGACAATTGCGCGCAAGTATAGAATTTGTAGTAACAGCGAGGAAAGTAAAATCAACAGAATTGTATACCGCGTGTATCAATGCAGTTGTTAAATTAGGATTATTTTCTTTAGTGTCGCGTTGGATAGATTTATAAGTATCCGCTGTTCAGTGTACATACGTATAACACAAGTGCGTTTACACATACATATATCATGTATACAAAGACGCAGTATTATGAATTGCTGATTTGATAATTGGTTATTCGATTTCCAATCGTTTTGAAAGTAATAACCGTTCAACGATTTCATTTCTAAAGCAAACAAGCGTTATAGTTGTCCGAGGGGTGTCAAATTCAAGTTCCCCGAGATCCTGTCAAAACCGGAGACGACAGTGTTTCTCAACCGTGATTCAGTTCCATTTTGTAACATCGTTATCACGATACATGTACGAGGGATAGAAAAGAAAAGTATTCTATTTGAATATTTAATATTTTAATTGTTTCATATTTTTTGCTCTGTTCAATATACAGGTTTGTTGCAAGAGTTCATTTTCTTTTTATACTACCTATTACACCTAATGCATATATTTTCGTTTATACTACTTTCTATTTATTAATCGAGGAATGTTCCTTCGTTTCTCTTGTAGTTAGATTTATCGTACGAGATTGACGGAGTGAAGCTAACGGACATCTCTGACCGAAATGAACAACCGCGTCACGGGTTGCAGCTGCAAGCGACCAGCGACCAAGACCATATGCAGCAGTTGCAGCAACGTGACCAGTTGCAACGGATGCAATGGGACCGGGAGCCGTTGCAGCTGCACAAGCGTGACCACGTGGCTGGGCAGCAGCAACTGCAGCAGCAGCAACGGGACAGGGACCAGTTGCAGTATCAGCAACGTGACAGGGAGCAGCAGCTGCCGCAGTTGCAATCGATCAGCAACTTGTTACTAGACCTGCCTCCGCCGTCTAGCTTCCAGGGATTCTCGCAGGACGCGAACAAAAGCAACAATAACGATGGTACGATGTCTCGATTCATATTCGCTTTTTTCTTTTTTTTTTTTTTTTTTTTTTTTATTACTGTTTCAATAAAAAAATACAAGTTTAATATTCGCAAATTTTTGGCAATATAAAAGTTTGCGTTCCGTAAACCACGAGCACGGACATTTCCTACGAATACATTCACGGGAAATCTTTATTTTTTTTATATACACGGTGAAACAAAAAAGAGGTTCGTAACTTTTAGGGTAGATGGTACCACACCAGAACAATGAGGAAAATTGTAAAAAAAAACTAATAAAAATTATACAAAACCTTCTGTAACCACGAAAAGAAGAAATGATAAACTTATCCATTGTTTACATATCCTTACGGTACGATAGACGATAGCTCCCGAAGCAAGAGAGTCACTCGCTTTAATCGAAATCGAAAATTGTTTATAACTTTGATAATATTAATATTTCGATGCATGTTTATTCTAACTTTTTTTCCTCATCTGGCGAGTATCATTTACCCCGGAAGTTATGAACCCGTTTTTTTTGTTTCACCCTGTATATGTATAACAAAGTAAAGACAGGAGAGATCTTTCGGTTGATTTATTGAAAGTCATTTTGTCGACGGACACCCTGTAAATGATTTGAAATTCGTTTCTGGATTGTCTGCTCCGTCGTTTCAAAATTAACGAGCGTGCCCCGCTCGTCGTTTGTCAACCGACAGCCCTCCGTCCGGCCGTGCTCGTGTTTCTCCGCGATTCGAAAAAAAGAGAGAAGAAAAAACAAAGACTGATTTTTCCGTTTCGTTCAGCGCCAGGAGACATGTCGATTTCGGATCTGTTCGGGCTCGGTTTGCCACGGGGTTCGTTAATGGGCAGCCAATCAACAGCTGGATCGCCTGGTTACCGCAACTACCAGTACCAAAATCGCAACCAGGGATCCTCTCAGCATTACCAGGTGACATTTCCTTTTATTGTGTATACATACTATATTATATATTTTATATTATTTTATATTATTTTATATTATTTTACAATTTTCGTTTAGGACGGGCAACATTGTTATTCTCGTCGCTCTTCCCAGAAACCAATTCCTTTAATTCATTCCTAGACTGTCCTGATGATTCAAATCTAAATTCATCCTCTACACAAATAGTATTTAGTCTTTATAAATCATAGTTTTAATTCTGTAAATTACAATTCACACACGTTCATTCAGTGAAAAGAAAGAGGCTAGTTTACTTTTATCCAAATTGCGAATTTGCTCGTATCTGCTTCTTTTATGGAAATTCAGTTAGTATAGATGGATGGTATTGTTTTCTTTCCCTTGTTCTTCAATGACAGTCCATGTGTCACGTGGTAGTGAAAAATCCCGACAGTCGAAGTAGGCAGAGCATTATGGAACGTCTGGCTGTTGCCAATGCAATAACCGGAACAATGATTATCCTCATTGGAGTGACTCCAACTGCTCCTCGAGCTTCCTTTTCCGGCCGTCTCGCGGTTAATTTTTTGTCACAATAGAGACCGCACCAGAGCAGCTACCTGACGTATCGATTTTCAATATTATTTGTTACGGCGAGGGTTCCCGAAACATCAATTTATGATAGGCAGAAAATAACGATAACGGATCGCGATAGCCTGGCTGCTGCTGGCCGTCTTCACCGATAAGAAATCCCGAAGCCATCCTCATCCCTTTGGGGCTAATCTTCTTCTCGAGGAGAGATCGTGTGTCCACTCAAAACTCTTTTACAAATTTTAGCCGGGTCAGCCAACGTATGTGTCCATTTCTCGAGTCACGAAGTGTGTAACGTTTCCGTATCACGAGAGCGAAAGAAATATAAAATTATAGCCGCGGAATACCCTCCCGAATGCGCCCTCGTCTTCGATTCGATTCGACACGACCGAAATAAGATTTCATTTTACCTCTGAAACGGAATTGATCCGCATAGATACCCAGAGAATTTTCTCTGTAGAATGGATTGAAAATATTATTGTTAATATTTTGTCTTGAAATATTCTGACAACGTGTGTATGTGTGGTGTGTATCATTACAAAATGAATTTCTGAGATAGAAAGGAGAATTTACACGCTGTTTTTATGTAACATATATTTATATTAACATTGATTGTAGGCGGATACAACTACGGTAATTCGACTCGGTACCAGATTTTGTCAGTAAAATAATCGTTGCTGATTCCGCTGCACACACACATGCACATAAGTAAGAGGACACCATAAACGAAAGCCGTGCCTTATCGACCAGACGCTTTAATGGACATTTTATCAGGCTCTTCTCGACGCCTTTAACGTTATTACCCTAACCATTTGCTGGATGCATGTGAACATAAAGGATCGGGCGGCGGGGGATATCATCGAAACGCGCGTGTTACGGGCGACGTATAATGCGTTCGGGACAAAATAAATTACGCATAGTCGGGAGCGGCGTTACTGCGACCCGGATTCCAGGATGGCCAAGAATTTACAAGCCTGAGCCAAACGGCTCTATCACGGGTGGTGGGGCCCCCTTTTCTCGCCTCCTAACCTCTCCATCCTGGATCCCCCTCCCTTTCCCTCTCACCCTCACTTGGCCTCCGTCGTCGTCTTCTTCTTCCTCTGTGAACTTGCGATCGCGGCCTCTGTGTTCCTGCACCCCCTTATTTTGTAACATTATCTTGGACACGGTCCAACGACAGTGTTGCGAGTTTCATAGAAAGAAACTCGGGGAAGAAGTTCCTTTTCTTATCGTGGAATAGATTGGACCTACTATAAGGGTGGGGGGGGGGAGGGGGTGCATGTAATTGGATGAAGTTAGATTGATCTGAACCCTTCTGTTCCGCTCCAGTAATTGGGTACACTGGTACACACTTGTTTGGAGCGAATTATAAATGAAAGTCTAAAATAAAAAAAGGAGCTTGATCGTTGGGATTCATTAAACATTTTTCGTATCAGTTGTACAATTTGTAATTTATAATTTTTTATTCTTTCGCATGAACAGCACTGCGAGGATAGCGGTATCTGCTCGAACTCGTCGATGATGGACATTCCGAGTTCGCCAAATTCTGTTACCACACCTGGTAGCCCCAGCACTCCTGGAAGTCTGTATTCGAATCCATATTCGTACACGTCTACAAATAGCAGTAATCAGACAGCGTCGTCGCCGATTAGTCGGGGATCTATGCAACACACTAGTTCCTCGTCGTCACCGATTCATTCTCCCTATTATGGAAGGCCCATTCGTGGGTCCCCGCCTTACAGGTAGCTTCGATAGAGGCTCATTCGAATTCTATCAATTACAGCAGAACGGAGGCTAATAATTTTTGTCTTATTAGCAACTGCAGCAGCCCCACCTGCGAGTATCCTTACTTGACGAGTTGCAATGGATCACGATCAAGCTCACCGGCGGATTCGGATACGAGCGGCATAAGCAGCAACGATAGTTCTCTGTCCGACATAATGGTACCCTTTTCGAGACATTAAAACGATATACAGTGACACACATTCGTTCGCAGACCTCGGAAATAACAATAATGTGTCGAAACTTTTCTGCGGATTTCTATTTGTATATTCTCCTGATTCTTACTTTTATCATCCTTAGGTGATAAATTTTTCGCAATTTTGAAAGAAAATTCGCATTTTGGTAATTAAATTGGTCAAACGGAGGTGAGTCACTGTACTCGAAGTTGAAGTTTGTATAAACTTCTATGCACTACAAGACTTTTGACAAGAGTTTCTGTGCATGGTTGTGTTTAAACTTCTGAAAATTCTTTTCAGAGTTGTCTGTCAATGAATTCATCTTCGCACGGATGTTACCCGCAGTCGTTGGGTTCGTTGATGTCTCCAGACGTGGATTTGTGCGGAAACAACAGAGCGGCCGCGTTTCAACGTATGGCGGTGAAAAAGTATTTATCCTCACCCCATCAAAATTCGTCGTCGCCGCACCATCATCTACATTCGCACGGACACAATCGTGGTCATCATTACGGCACGAATCAGAACGGGGGATTCCTGAATTCCCTCTTGTCGCACGAGAAGAATTGCTGCACCCCGAATAATCATATGACGGCTATGAATTCACCAACGATAAATGTCTTAGATCCGCAAATGTCGCTCGAACGCGTGGCACGTTTTCATCGAAGTGCCGCTGGTGCGTAATCAATTATTCGATTCGTTGTCATTTAAGATACACCGCTCGCGCCTGCAATTAAAATTAGACAATCGGATAGAAAGAATGTTAATGATATTAAGTAGAAGTATCGTTTTCAGCACTTTGTGACCCTACTTGTACATGGAGCGGTATATTACCTCAACGGGCTCAAAAGCCTACGGGTTATTCATCAAAGGTGTTCCTTGGTGGTGTGCCCTGGGACATTACGGAGTCTCTTTTAATCGCAACTTTCAAGCAGTTCGGTCCGATACGCGTGGAATGGCCGGGGAAAGATCAATCGGCTATGCAGCCTAAAGGATACGTGTATATCATATTCGAATCCGAGAAACAGGTAATTGAAGCTCTTCGTATTGTTTCAGGCGTAGAATATTTTTCACTTTTAATGAGACTTAAATGTTTATTCTTAAGGTGAGAACCCTGTTGGCATGTTGTACACATGATTTTACCAACGGTGGTAGTTGGTATTACAAGATATCGTCGAAACGAATGAAGGCTAAGGAGGTGTGTATAATCATCGAAATTTCTTTCACTTATTTCTCTACTTCTCGTATAGCAATTATCACTCAAGTCTCGCATATACATTTTAAAAATAGGTACAAGTAATACCTTGGGCCCTTGAGAACAGTAATTACGTGAAATCCTCATCGCAGAAACTTGATCCTCATAAAACAGTATTCGTTGGCGCACTTCACGGTATGCTGACTGCTTCCGGTTTAGCAAAAATCATGGATGATTTGTTCTGTGGAGTTATTTACGCAGGTGAAGATTTTACATGACATACAGTCGACAAGATTTTGTTTTTTTCTTTTTTTTTTTTTTAAATGTGTACCGTGAAATTTGGATATTTGACTTCAGGTATTGATACTGACAAACACAAGTATCCAATAGGATCCGGTCGGGTTACGTTTAGCACAAAGCATTCGTACATGAAAGCGGTTTCAGCGGCTTTTATTGAGATAAAAACCGTCAAATTTACTAAAAAGGTTCGTACAATTATTAAATACAGTCATGAAAAAACTATACAAAAATCATTTAATAATATCAGTATCCTGGAACAGGTGCAAGTTGATCCGTATCTAGAAGATTCTATGTGTTCCGAGTGTTCAGTGCAACAAGGACCTTATTTCTGCCGTGAAGTGGTATGAAAAAAAAGCTCTTTCCTCATCGTCCACTCTTTAAACATTACCGTACAATATAATTAAACTTGGAAAATCTTTGTGTCCTTTTAAGATGTGTTTCCGGTACTTCTGCCGCATTTGCTGGCAATGGCAGCACTCAGTGGAATCAATGTGGTATCACAAACCGTTGATGCGTAACTCGAAGACCAATCAAGTGGTCGGATTGTCACCGATGATGAACTCCGGACCCCGTAGACAGAACTACCTCACGAATTAAGTACAATTGCCAAGCTTCTTGTTCGCGATATATCACGTATACTCACCCCCTCCCCTCCTCCTTTTTTTTTTTGACTATTTGTTTTCGCACGGACGTCGCGCTAGCTGACTTACTGACAGGGTGCAAACTTAGTTTTTATCGCAGGGCTGCGGGCAGCTGGTTTGACGATATACACACAAACATACCGGACATACCAGCTGGATCGGCATAAGAATGCAAAACGATTTGTTTATTATCGTTATTATCGCAACACGTCCGTGGTATAAAGACTAATAATTGAAATGATTGAAGCAAGAAGAAAAAAAACTATGAAATCGTGTGTTTCATGAAGAGTTCCTATTTCACAAACGCGGGCCACAAGACCGCGTGTTCATACGAAACAATACTTTTTATTTAGTATGTTTACTTAGGGACTGGTTCTCTTGTTGATCGTTTTATTGCGAAATATAATAGAATCGTGTGCCATTGATTAACCAACGATCGGCACACGTTGTATAACTGCAGTCATACGTGTCACGAGTGTGCGTTTCCATTGCAATTCATGTGGGCTCAATTGTGGCTTGTAGAGTGACAATTATTTTTATGCGATACAAAATGTGAGAAGCCACTCGACTGCTAGGAAAGAAGGACAAAGAAGAGAGAACTGCACCGAGTTCGTCGTAATGATTCAGAAAAATGAAATTCCGTAAAACACAACGGCGCCGCTATAATACAATAAATCGGCGAAAAATATTACGCTTAAACCGTAAATTATTCGAGGATATTAGATTATTGTAGTGTTCGAAGCGGTGGGAGGGTTTAATAATTCGATTATTATTTTTCACGGGGAACCCATTTAATTTTGTAGGAGCAGTTGTGATTACTTCCTGTGTGAAGTTCTAAGCCGACCTCAGCAACCCCCTTCGTGTAAGCCAATTTATTCTATTCCGACGTTTGTCGGCAGTACTGCCCATCGTTGTAGTTTTATGTTAGATTTGTACAGTGTAAGGGTATTGCCAAAAAAGAAAGTTGGCCACTGTAATCATAATTTATATTCTTAGTCAAAAAGCGGTAAGCTTTTTCGTGAGCTTTCGTTCACAGGGACTGTTTAACTGTTGACGAAATGGAGAAGTACACGGTCTACGATTCTGGAGCGGATTGTAGTGAATTGATTCTGTTTTTATTTTTTGTTACGATATTATGTTACGTATTTTCTTTCAACAGGATTTTCGTGGTATTTCTCATCGCGTTTCTGATGTTTTGATATCATTTTGTTGAGTGAATTAAATGTCATATTTTTGCAGATAGACTTACATTGTCTCGTTCCTACTTTTTCTGTTTCATGATTTTGTTTCCTTTGACGTTAGAAAGAGAGAACGATCGTTGTTCCGACGAATCTTTCTGCCTCCCATTCCAAACTCCTGGCCTTACAAATGTGTGCTTGTATGTGACGTATATACTAAGTATTAAATGTTACTGCATCATGGAAATTCGATAGGCGCATAATATTACAGTTACATTAATTTTACAATTATATTACCAATTCGTCTTCTGACTTTTGTTTTCTATTGTCGACAGATTAATAAAGGTTTATATAGTATTTCTTAATTTCCAAAGTATAATGCCAACTGAATCGTTTATGCAGTAATCATTCATTACAAGTATTGTAACACTTGCTTCTCTATTTTACCATAATCAGGTAGCTATGTAGACTATAAATTATTACTGGTAAATGTTCCAGAAAATAAATTGTATAGAATTAAGATGTATAATTGAAAATGCATATAATCAAGTGCAGATTACTCTGCTACTATTTAGTCTTACCAAATTATGAGAAGCAGAGAAGTTATTATATTTCTGAAACATTAAAATTTAGCTTGATTCAGGAGAGTGGAACAAAAAACAATACATATGCGTTACCATGGCGTAGCCGGGGGTAGGGGGACAAGTGCCCCCCTCCCCTGGACGGAAAAAGTAGCTTTTGCCCTACCCTAGAAGAAAAAAAATTGGATTTTGCCCCCCCTCTACATGAAAGAAAAAAGGCACTTGCCCCCACCCCCCGACTGATAACCTAAATAGCTATGCTATGTCCCCATGTGTGCATTACAATATTAAACGCGCAATGAACAAGTAATATGGTTATTATATGTATAAGGGAATATTAACATGAAGTACTTTAATACAAACAAAATACTACATATGTATACATATATATATACACGCACACACACACACACACACACACACACACACACACACACACAAATATATATTCTATGAAGGCTTCAAATGTATCCATAAAGTTTTTAGTCAACGAAAGAAAAATCGGTTTGCTATGTGCCTGAAAATCATTCTAAACAGAAGAGCGACAGACGCTTAGACAGTAATTAAACCGAATCAACGGCGGATAATAATAATGAGTCGATGGAAATTTTAAAAAATGCTCTTTTATCGGAACTGTCTTGTTTACAAACTTTTAATGAGTCGTGCCTTTTAAATGTAATCTCCATAGATTTTATTCCAATGTGGAAAACACAAATTATTTTTAAAATCATTGATATACTATGCGATAACAGGGTGATCTATTATTAAAATAAAACAAGATTGCTACTGGACACGCATAACGTCAAGCTTTCTTAAAAGTTTTAAGATTTAAACTGATCGCGAGGCAACGATTATGTCGCGGCCATAGGTAGCAAAGTATTTTTTTTATGTTCTTACGTACGTACCTCCTGTTCTTTAATATTTTTTATTGGTAATAAAATCTGAGTCTATAATTTACAAATAATAACATTTGGAAGAAAGAACATGTATATGTAAAAGCAATTCGAATATTAGTAGATGTATATCTAATTGCAATCATTAGCGTTAAATCGATTAAGCTTGACCTAGATATCAATCATTTATATTGCTTTAGCTTTCCTCCTATTACATACATCCTTGTTGAAGAATACTTTGTAACACAAAACTAGTATATGGGAAAATAATAAATTGTTCTTTATTATGTTAAAAAAAAACTGTATTGCTTCATAATATATATGAAATTATACTTTACAGTGCATGGAAAATGAGAACTAATTTTCCTCCAATTCTTGTATAATTTATTTACATTTTTACAGATATTGTTCAGCACCTTTGATACAAAATTTAAGAACTTCCCCCTGAATATTTTTTTTCATAAAAGTAAAAGATTATATTTGCAATACTATCAGAAGCTGCTCCTAGTCCGAAGAATTTTTTTATACAAAATTGTGGTGTTGTTACAAATACTTTTTCTGTTCTGCTCGTTTGCTTAATGCTTGGTATAAACCAATCAAAGAGGACACAGTTCCCAGTGCTCCGACCTGCCACGTTTTTAACTGACCTCCCCAAAATACACCAGGTGGTAAATAACTCACAGCATAACTAATATCTAGTAGGAGTCTGGTGCTCGTCAGTAGTTCACTCCATCTTTGTTTGCTTACAGTTTTTAAAGCTGCTCTATTGAAATGAATGTAACCACGTGGATTAAAGTTGTAACAATTGAAGAAACATTTTGCATGATCTCTCTAGACTTACCTTGCATCACAATTAGTTTCACCAAGGTGTGTTTTGTAATTATTCAATTTCTTCAACTTTCTCCCAGATCTGAAAAAATATTAGAATTTTTTTTAATAAATGTCAGATTGGACCTTGATTTTTTCAACATACTTAATCAATGACAAATGAAGAGAGATGATCCAGAACCATGTTGAAACATTATCCCACTTTTCAACATTGATTTTAATCAACTCGTGTTCACCAGCCCAGTAAATGTGTTCTATTGGACAGAATATAATATCCACCGCAATTTGTATTAACTCTGTCCATCTCAACAACCAATCTGGCTCCTATTAGATTAGATATCAAATTTATATGCCTCTAGAACAATGATATAAGTCCGTACATATCATTAGTAAAGGTAAAATGAAACATGCAATGAGAACAAAAAGTCTACCCTTTAAACATTATTTTGTTTCATCTAAGGATTCTGTACCTTCTTACCACAGCCATATGTTATAGCATAATGAATCATTGGTATATCATCGAGCAATCTTAGTATTATTCTGCAGCCACTCATTTGACTGCTAAGAATTTTCAACTTCTTCTCAATTTCCTTTGAAGATGTGCCTAATGTAGCTAATTTAGACATGTAAGACAAAGTCCGTAAGAATTTGTCTCTGCCTTGGTATGTTTCCAAGTATTCTGATATGAGTGCAATATCCATGTTTTTTTTTTAAATAAAAAACTATGAATGTCCAAACCGTATCAAAAGAATACTGTTTACCTGTAACAATATGTGAACAAATTATTAGCATGGCAAAGGACATAAAAATTACTTATGTAATACATGAAACTACATATTGTATATATATTTATAAATTGCTACAGCATAAGTTAGTAATGATACTAACAAATAACATTTCTTGTAAATTCCAATTGCAGGACATAGATGTAAATTTTTAATGAATAGTTCAATAAAGTAAATAAATAAGTGTTTATTTTTTTATATCAAATGTCCTGGAATTTACATATTTAGTAATTATTCGTCAATTTAAGTGTTTTTTGGCGAATTATACGTTACCAGTAATGCAAGTACGTAGATTGTTAGAGTGTTATCGAATTCACATACATTTAGTGTCTTATCTACTATACATATTATTTAAAGCTAAAGTGTGACAACATATGAAGAAGAAGGTTAAGCGACACTTTTCACAGTTGTAGTATATTCGACAAAAGAGGCAAACAATGCATGCAAATTGAGTAGAATTTTCGTTTTTCAGTATGAACAATTCTAACTCTTAAAGTATAAATTTATGTATAACAGTGAACTTTAAATAAAGTATTATAATAATTAGAATAATTATAAATCCAATTAAAAGATTTCAATAAAAAGGGGGTAACATATTATGCATTTGAAATTAAGTAGAATATTGATAATCGTCGTTAGTAAATACATTTTTATTGACATTTAATTGTTTACAATGAAAGAGAACTTTGGCGCCATCTGTGGCAAAATATCTAAGCTATTAGTCAATTAGTACCATTTCTTGTCGGTAGGTGGCGCCAGAATACTATTCAGGATTTGTTTTCTTAAAAAATTAAATATTAATTAGACAATGCAGCAAGTAATAATTGTGATGGACTGTTAGAGTCAGGACGGTTGAATAATTCGATATAAAAGAAGCATACCTCTCATTTTTTAAATGTACATGATGTATGTATACCTGAAGACGAGTTGCGCCATTCAACAACCAAATGAAGGTACTAATTGGCTAATAGTTTCAACGTTTTGCTACAGATAGAGTTACATGTCTCATTGACCAATTATCCATAACACATAACAAATCTAAATATTAACGATAAACGCCACAATTGACAGTTCTTACTCGGTAATTTCGTTTCGTGTGAACTCAATAAACAATTTGACGTCATTGGAAACATTATTTAAACGACAATTTACATGGTTTGTCTGTACTTTTCATTGCACACATGTAAATTTGATATTACGGTGAATTCTCATGGATTTGCATTGTTTTGAATTATTACTTAGCATTATTTAAAAAAAGACGGAAATTAATTGAATTGTATTGAAATCGATTTAAGGACACACTAAAGATCTCAATATAATGTATATGTATAAACAATAATATAGATTCCACTATTTCATTGCAGGTTTCCTCTCTATATAAACAGTAGACACATGGCGAAGCGTACGGAGTGGGGGAAAAACCTTTTCAAAGCGTCGTATTCGTTCACTGTTGTGTGTCGCTTTAGAGCAACGTGATCAGTGGTTCGTAGACGTGATGACGTCAGACTTCGAGGCACAAGCCGTGAGCGCGTTTAAAGCTGAGTAGGGCGTGAAAGTGTGTGTTCGTGCCGCTCGTTTCCCTTCGCGTTCTTTTAACCAAAAATCTCGTCCGAGAATATGTTTGAATAGCCAAGCGTGTGCCGCCTCCGTAAACGTTACGGGACAATTATGTTCGGTGCTCTATTAACGTGATTGATAGTGAAAAAGGATATCATGTTCCGCTGCATTCCGATTTTTAAAGGGTGTAACAGGCAGGTGGAATACGTTGACAAGCGTCACTGCTCTCTGCCGAGCGTCCCCGATGATATTTTACGATACTCTAGAAGCTTGGAGGAGCTGCTGTTAGACGCGAATCATATCCGTGATCTGCCCAAGGTAGGCAAATACCGCTACATGCCTAACTTTTCTGTTTTACAATCATTGTATCTCTTTTTCTTTCTTTTACCTCCACCTTCTCCTCTCCCATCGTTCGTTTCTCTTCCCTCCCCTCTCTCTCTATCTCTCTCTCTGTCTCTCTATTGTGTCCATGACGTATCATTCCATCAGGGCTATAATATGACGACGACGATGTACGCGTACGACATACACGATAGGGTTGCTAACACTGTCATTAGTTTGATTCTTATTTAACACGTAAAATCTCATCGAGTGTTTTTCGTTTTTCTTACTGTTTCCAGAACTTTTTCCGGCTACAAAGGCTACGAAAACTCGGTTTGAGTGACAATGAGATCCACCGTTTACCACCGGACATCCAGAATCTCGAGAACCTCGTGGAGCTGGACGTGTCCAGGAATGGTGAGTGGCGCGTTTCATTATTCCTTGGCGACTGCTAGGTATACGGTTTTCGTGGTCGCCGACCGCGACGACGACGACGACGATGACGGTATAATAGAGAGACGCGGCGAGTGTTTCGTCGCGACGGGGAACGTTTCGTTTCCTTTCGTGTCGTCGACGATTTTCTTTCCTCCTCGTCTTCTGGTAGTTGTTCCTTCTTTATCGTGCGGCAGCCAGCGCCTGTTCACGGCCTCGAACTCGAAGCACGTGCACACGCATCTCGCAGGCAATGTCAATGAGAAAAGTCTGGTCGTAATAAACGCGATATTGTACAAAAGGGGGACCTCGAGCAAAGAAAAGCCTAGGGATTAAATGAGGTTTGCCATTAACTGGAACCCTACTTTGTTCGATTCTAATACACCGAGGACAGTTACGCTAGTGTCAAATATTAACCCTATAAAGATTTAGGGGAGAGTCTAGGCGTGATCACCGGACAGAAAATGTTGACTGAAAGACAGTAGTAATTTATGATGTTTCCACTGTAAATCATATTTATTTGTTGTCTTTTCCAAACGAAAATACGATAAACTTAGGTCAGCTCAATGAGCTTCCTTAGCCATCGACGAGGCGACCGAGAGAGAGACATCTTTTCTAGAATTAATAAAAGACGCTGTTACCATTAACGGTGTCCCTTTTTTTGACTTAGTACCGGTCATAGCGAGCAGTATATTATCCACGATGAACCAACAGATAGACAGGTGTTATCTGTTGTGTCTTGATATGTATTCTACTGGCGATACTTTCGAATTACAACCCCCCCCCCTTCCTGTGAATGTTAACATAAACATCAATTACGGATTTTAATCCTTGCAGTACTGCCACGTCTGGGCAATTACACGGGTGACTGCGTTTGGGCTCTTCATGGACTCGTATTATTTTCCATTTTTAACCCTACCAATAAAATATCTATCATTCTAACCACTGCTTTTTTTTTCTATCTCTTGAGTCCCTCCGAATAAACTCATGCATTGTCGGGCGGACAACAGTTAAAAACAGTAAAAAGTATTTGACACGATTACTCTCAAAACAACCTCTCGATTGAAATTGTGACTTCGACTTGTGATCTCGATAGAAATCGATTTACCACATCGCTTGTCGGGGGATCGCTGTGTCAGAATTTGATTTTGTTTTCTCAATCGATCGTGTCATATGAGTCACATCGAGACTGATTCGAGGATGGAAACTTCGTCTCGTTCAGTTTCTAACGACAGCGTCTCCTCGTCGTCGTCGTCGTCGTCGTCGTCATCGAGCGACACGTTTGAATCGTTCTTATACCACCGTCGTCACCGACTTTGTCTCTCCCAAGAGGGAAGCCTTTTCTTTCCCCGTTGTTCGTCGTGGATTTACTTACCGTTCCACTTCGCCGTTTTTATGTTTACCTTATGCCCCCAGTCCCTAACCACCCGCGCGCATACACACACGTATATGTATATACACACATGGTGGGGGGACTTTGTTACTTCACATGCGGCACGAGTATGGAGAAGGAATGCAACGTAGTCGCCGCGGATGCTTCGTTTTGCCATGAGATTCTCTCTCTCGTTCACTTGCTGTATTTCCCCTTCGCCCCCCATCCTCCGTGGAATGCTTCTTGCCGCAAAATACCCGGCAACGCTCGTAACTAATGTTAGATGCGCTCCACTGGACGTCTTTTTCCCTTGAGCGTGCACCGAGATTCTCTCGTTAATATTCCGCGTCTTCATCCGTCGTCGATTCGCGGTGATTGCGATTGAGAACGGGACTTAAGTTGGTAGAGTTGTGCGTGTGTTCTTATTTGAAGCTTGTGTAGTATCCGGAAGTGTGGGCCTGAGGATATTTGTCGGGAAATATAATAAACATCTGTATTTCAAGAACGAGTGTTAATGGCCGCCTGCTTCCGGTTAGCGGTAGGTGAATAAGTCTGGCGGGAAATTTAAAATTGTTTCGGGAAAATTGCGGACTTGAGGGGGCCTGTAGACTTCAGAATCGTTATTAAGGAGTACAGTTATCTGGAAATGGGGGGGACTCGTGGGATTAAGGGAGAATTGTTAACTGCCATGTGCCGGGCGGGAGAATGAGCCTGGCGGGAAATTTGAAAATCCCATTGAAACGTAAAATAATTCTGTTCGACGTATTATAAAATATTTCACTTATCTAAATTTCTCTCGGAAAAGGATTTAAAACAGTAGTCTTCTCGGCTGGAAAGGAAGTAAGACACTAAACTACCCGTTCCTTGCGGACCGGGTGTAATCGACTAATTGCACCTCGCGTTATTTGTTAACGCGAAAGAACGCTACGTCTCCCATCCAGCGGTGCGTTATCGAGTAAAGGTGTGCAACTAGGATACAGACTATAAATAATTGCCGGGTAATTACAACTTCCTGATGCGCTGCTCGTTATCAATAAACGGCTCTGCTCTCTCGCATTCTTTCCCGAGCGACACATGTTCCAACGAGTAATTAGGCTCCGGGACACGACACGACACGACACGACACGACGCGCGCGTGTTTACGGCGGTATGTGCGTCGTCACGCGTGCCAACATTTTATCTCGCCCCGTCGCAGCAGTGCGGCTGTCAATGGACAAAACTAAAAAAAAGTCATTGTTTAATGTCGATCCGATAATACGTCTAAGTCACCGTATTTATCAACACATGATTCGAAAAATTCAATAGGTTTTCGTATTCTTTGTTTCACTGGTCCCTTACTTGATCAGTAATTGTTACTATTTGTTGTCCTTTTTTTTACTAAAAGAAAAAGAAATACCATTTGAACTCTACTCTAATGGTAAGATGCGGGTCGAATTTGACCCAAGTTATAGTTCTTCTTCTGCTATCCCCGCTCTATTTTTTATTATTTCTTTACTATTTTTGTTTTAAAATATTTTTTATTATTTAGTGAACTTTTTTGCTTATATTATTATATGTTATATAACCCCATTATTATTTTTTATGATATAAATAAACAAAAAAAGTTCAAGATAATAACTTTTTTTACCCGTGTAAAAATAGTAAAAAAGAGCTCGGGTTGGATCCCTCCCCATCTTGCCAAATACGACTTGGAAACCCATGACTTACCATTCGAGGGTTAATCGTACGTTTACGATAAAGAGAAAGAAAACAGACCGTAAAATCTTATCGAAATTTATGTTTCAATCGTATGGCCGTGTACCGCGCCGCGTAAAACAGTTTTGTATACGATTGATAAAGAAATCTGGATAATGAAAGGGTTTTAACGGCCAAAATCGTGTCTGACCAACCTTCGTTGCCTGACCGAAATATAGCCGCGCGTGTACGCATGGAAAAAGGAAAACGAAATTTCGAACAATACCGAAGTGTATAATAAACGACGGTATTGTACACGGTGGAAATGAGTTCTTTTGTTCGCAATAAAGTCGAGGGCCAGGGCTTCAGCCGATTAAAACGCTCTCTCTCTCTTTCGATAATTTTGCGCGGCGTCGACACGAGATTTTTTTTTCGAGAAACGGAATCGCGACAATTAACTTCGTTCAGACGGCTCTTTTTTTTCTTCCTTCCTTTCAGACCAATCCTCCATGCATCGCGATCGTTCACACCAGAAAAGAATTTGTATATGGCAATGGGAACACCTTCTTTACAATGTTGCAAAAATATGAGAATGAGAAGGGTTCTGAATGAGGAATACGTAGATTTTTACGTGGACGATTCCTTAATTCATCAGAGGTTATGATCTGCAATCGGTTTATTAAATAATAAGATGCGAAATGTTATAGAAACTTGTCCAAAATGTGTATCGTGTAACTGTTTATATTGGTTATAAAAACATGTTGTATAGCAAAGGTATACAATGCTTTGCTACATAGTGTAAACGCAGCTTTACCATGGTAAAGTAATAACTGACGATAGAAATCTGTTAATAACAGTGTCGTGAGTAGTGAATGTTATTAGAGGATCAGACGTCATCTTTTCCTATGGTTTGTGATATTACAATACAATATTTCAATGTAAATGGTTTAACGAACGTGGTTTTAAAACAATGTAATTTGAAAGTTGCGAGATAGATTTGACTATTACATCTTTTGATCTCGTTCACGCACAATACCCGTTTTGTACTTTTACGATGACCATAAAAATGTTCGATAATCCGCTTGGGCCACAAAATAAGGAGAGGGAATAACCGTTTTGTCGGGTGTGTGTACGTATGTATGTTCAGAGTGATACGGAACGTAAACACGATAAGATGATCGATCGATCACCGCCGAAATTTCGCGAGTATAATCGACCAGTGTCACTGGATTCTATCCGAGTGACCAGCATTAGCAACACCGATAAGATCGTGTCTCCTCCATTGGTTCTTAACAAGCAGCTCCTGTAATTCTCCTTTGCACAGGTGCATCGAAAGATTGTCGAAAAGATCGAGCCTCAAGGCAAAATTCTTCTCGACCAAGAGGATCTAAAATCAATATATTTGAATATATATAGAAATGTAGTAGTGCCCTGTCCACCCGCCAAGAAACCTTGATCCTATCAACAGAGAAAAAAGTATTACCATAAATGATCGATCAATGTGGCACCTCCCCTTCCCATGGTTATCTTCGCGATCTGTTTCCGTTTTCTACGACCGGATCGATACCGCGTCTCTAAACTCGGAAGTTGTCGCCTCTGTTGGTCTAGGAACAATAAAGGAACATCAGCGTTACCCAGAAGACAATTCCACCCCTTCTGATCCTTTATTCACGGGAGACTAGCCTCGATCCTTATCAAACGTTATTACGTGGGGGATCCGTTCAAGGACGATCTTTTGTTACGCCGGTATCAAGGGAGAGCCCCGCCCCCTTTTGGTTCTCTCTCGTGGCGAACAGTGCGAACACAATATGGTGTTCCGGGGATCCATGGGGTCATAAGGGGGTTTTCTTTCTCTCTCTCTCTCTCTCTCTCTCTCTCTCTCTCTCTCTCTCTACGACTCGCCGCCTCTGAAGTTGCTAATTTGATATCAGGATGCGGT